GTTAATTGCTGTTTCGCAATTGACAATTAATCAATTGTCAATCTTTAATTGCCAGAACAATTAAATTTTGCCCAACACTGCTTGCCATTAGGGTCGTATTTTCAGTGCTTGAAATCGTACTCAAGTCCTTGCCATTACGGTCGTAATTCCAGTGCTTGAAATCATACTCAAGTCTGCTCAAATTCTGACTTGAGCATTGAGTAGAGTTCTGGAATACGACCCTTGAAGGCCGGCTGATTGCTGTCGCGACACGGTACGGCACGGCAAAGGATTTTAGTTTTGATCAAGTTATTTTTATTGTTATTTCATCGAGTTTAGAATTCATATTACTTTATTTCGATACAATTATACCGCGACACGTCGTGGCATGCCGCTTTTTTATTTAAGTTAAGGATAACTTAAATAAAAAAATAATCAATTACCAAACCGAAATAATAGATTATTATTTTTTAAATAGGAACTAACATTTATTTACAATTTCATTTTGTCAGTACACAGTACCGATAGAAGAAAAATATTCCGTAAAACAATCTCTTACAACCATTCCATCTAAACTATTAGGTTTCGGTAAAGTAGTAGATCTTACAGCAAATATTGCTTGACAGGTTTCGCACAGTGCTGAATCCCATTCGATAGCTAAAAGCTAAAGACTTAAAATAAGCTCCTGTAACGACAAAACAAAAAAGTATTAGTAGATAACTTAAAAGCAAAAATAAAATTAGTAGATGACTTAAAAGCTAATTATTTTTTATCAGATAGTTTTAATGAGAAGGGAAGGATTATTTTGTAATGCTATATGGAATAAATCTTATGTTACAGCTGAAGAATGCCAGAAGACGTGGACTTGCCTTCGCAACAATTGCAGAAAAGCCCTAAAAAATAGAGTGTACAAAAGCGGGGATGCTGCCAAAAAGAAGCTACAAATAAAATTTGAAAAGGAACTCAATTTTTTGCGGAAATTCATTAAAAAAGCTCTCAAATTTAGATTCCTCATCCGAAGATATACGGTATTCCGAAGATACGCAGCGTTTTGAAAATACACAATATCCTGAAACATCATTCCCTATTCCTGAAGTACAATCACCTGTATCTCAAATGCCGATCTCTGGTGCGTGTGATTCATCACATCTTAGACCGGTTGGACACGTTCATCAACAATCGTACTTGACTTCATCGAAAGCACAGTGAACAGAAATAACAGCAGAAATATTAAAAAAATACATAGAATACCAAAAGAAAGATCAACACCCGGTGGAGATAATTTAATCAAGCAATGGCGGCAACGGTGAAATCGTTATCACCAAAATTACAGGCTGACGTAAAACGAGACGTTCTACTTAGCGACACATCCGAAGAACAGAGTCCGATGTGATTATATAGCGAAAAGAAAATAAGTACGTTACGGAATGATTTCGTTAATCAGACAATACCTATTGTAACGGTGTTTTGAGAATTTATATATTTTATTTCGTTTCGGAAATATAAAATTGAACAAGTCGATCTGACATCCACAGCGAAGGAGAACGACCGAAATGTACTATGTCGAGAGAACAAGTAGTCTTGCACATAGATCTTTGTTCTACGGATGAGACGAATTGTAGCGAATCGCTACAAATCTCTTGTATATTTCTGATATAGTCTTCTAAAAGTTTAGTTTTATATTTAAATTCTAAATTTAAATGTGTCTGTTTTTGGCGCCTTTTCATTAACTTTAGCTAGTGTTTTGCTGTTTTACTTTGATAGCGACAACATGTTTTCTAGTAAATTATTCAAAGCTGTAAGTACATTTGCTTGGCCTTGCTCATTTGTTGTTAGCACCCAACCTTTAACCCATTGATACAGTACGCTACACATATTGTTACTGAAGCAGAAATAAAACATTCAGAATCTATGGAGTTAGCCACTGTCGTGCGGCAAAATCGTCCTTCAACATTGAGGCTTGATTCGTATCGCGTAGACGCTATGCGACGCGGCGCGGGCTGCATTAAGGCGAGCAATGCAACATAAACTATTTCCTCAACAGAATAAGTTGCCTTGTTCATTTCATTAAACAAACAAATGAAAACGAAGATGCAGGATGCGACGCCTGGCTGCAGAGAGCTGCGGTAGGCGCAGTTTATAAAATGCAATATATACAATATATTCTCCACTAAATAAAGTATACATTTCTTCAAACAAAAGAGAAAAACCGCACTGCGTCGCCTACGGTAGGTTACACTTGGCGACGTCGCTAACCGTCGGCGACTTGTTCCGCCCTCAGCAATGCGAAGTGTAACTTAGCTTAACATTAAGGTATATTTCTTTGAAAGGCATATCGCGTGGTAGAAGTAATGTAGTACAGAATTTCATGTTTACTCATTGTCTTATAGGTCAATGTGTTTACTAAACTAAGTCGATATTTCTTTGAAAGCAAAGCAAAAAGCAGCGCTGCGTCGCGCTGCGCCGCCAACCGTCTCCTACCGTCGCCGGCGCAGCGCGGCTTTTCTCTTGTTAGAAGCAATGTATACTTTATTTAGTAGAAAATATGTTCTATATTATAGTGTATGCATTATAATATAGAACATATTTTCTACTTTTATAAAGTGCGCCTGGCGCAGCTCGACGTCTCCCGCGGCCGCTTGCTGCCGCCTCTACTGAGGTCGTGTTTAAGAGGGAGCAGAGGAAAAAAATCCTAATCTTCGATTTGATTTTAGAGGGGTATATCCACTTTAAAGTAAAAATTAAATATTGTATGAGTAACTACACGATATATTCAAGCATAGACATTCATCAGAAACATAAAACAAGCATAAAACAATAAAGTTTCCTCGATAGATAAAAATCACGAAACGACCTCTAATTTTCACATTTTTTCGATTTATCCTCGAAATGCTACAGGTTATTAGGACGAAAATTAGATAATTAATTATATTTATGCCAGATCTGCAACTGTCACTACGGATTTTTTTAATCCCTTTAGTTTTAGAGTTATTCCGCTAAAACGAATTTGGTACTTTTAATGCGCAAAATTCAACATATGTCGCATGTCACGCGAACTTCAGGCATATATTTGTTTCACAAATTTGGGCGGAGTCAACGTCAAAACTTTATTGGCATGAAAGCTCTTAAGCAATTTGTAGATTATACATGCAAATAATATTGCAAGGATGAGAAAATCCCGTGTTTCATTCCGGTAGAACCAATATCGGAAATGTACTTTTCTAAAGTGTTTTTGGACGCCTAGGTGTTTTGGGTAGTGCCGCGGAGCGAACTTCGTAGTCTTATATTCCGGGTTCGACTCCCGGTAGAACCAATATGAAAATGAACTTTTCTAAAGTGTGTAAGTACATTACAACCTCAGTTTTCCTAACAAACTCACTTTTCCTTCCAACCCGACCTTTTAGCTCTCTACCACCACAACATGGCATGAAATACCAAGTTTGTATTTACCATTGATTGTAGTTTGTATACTTTTTTCTCAACAATAGGAATCAGTAGGTACCTATAGATACGTCTACCCATTGGTTGGAAGCTATTGATTTTATATGTATTATTCCTTTGCGGAGGAATAGCAGGTAAACTTATTTTCGACTGGTTCACGGGTTATTATTATTCTTTTATATAAATTTTTACTAACGCCTGGGTATCTAGACTGGAGGGCGAAGACATTAAATTTACATCTTCTGTAGATAGATATGGTTTGTTGGGCAATATGCGCTTTGGCATTAGAGTGTCGAAATAACGGTGAAGAACGCTTGACTTGTCGTACTTAGTTTTTCTTTGTAAGCCTTGCTTAATGATCAAGTTTTATGGTCGTAGCTGATCTAGGGAGCTATGGTAGATGACTCCGCGACTGGATCACCAAATAGTTACTAAAAATTGCTGTGGGTCAACCGTTTACAATTATAAGAAATAATCCATATTACATTACAGTAGGCAGGTAGCTTCAACATGCGTTGCCAGTCGTATTTCGAACAATTCGTGTGGTTAGATTTTTTATTTTACCCATTTTGCGCAAATGGATCAGTACATCTGCCTATGGGTATAGTTACATCCAATTATTCCGCTACTTTCTCCGTAGTTTGCGATGGATCGGCTCAACAATGACTCGTAAGTCGTCATTATTCACTTTAAATTAAGAGGATTGTGCAGCCACCGATAAGCATTCAAAAAGCTGAAATGTTTTTATTCCAGTGAAGTTTAACGTATTTCAATTATTTTTTATTATGTTATTGACATTATGGACATAAACCAACATGAACATATTAAATGTTTAAATTTTTTCGATGTTCATTATAGGTTTGTAGAAATGACCAAGACCAGTCACCGTATTTTATGTCGTAATTCCTCTCGTACAAAACCATTCGCATGTTATAAATAAGGCATTATTGAATAAGAAACGAAACCTACAAGTCTAGATGGCCTTTCTCAAAAACGGATTTAAAATAATTAAAAAAAAACTGTTTTTTTGATATGACTAAAAGTAGTCTCAAATGAAAGGTACCGTATCCTACAATATGTTTCACTTAAGAACCTAGCTATTATCACTGTAGTTTTCATGAAAAAAAAAAGGAAAAAAGAAAACACGCCTCCACGGAAGTGACACAAGTCCATTGTAATGACATATTAGATTAATTTTAATGAAGCATGTATGGTTTACTGTAGAATAACACGTATTTTTTACTTAATTATCTTTATTTACGTAATCAGTTAGATATTGATTAAATTTTGGGCTTTTAAAGTATTAGGTATATTAAATTATGTAATTCTATATTATTAAAATATATTTTTTGCAATACTAACACAGTCTTCTATTCAGTTTTTAATATCAGGTCACATGGTACCATTATTTCTAATAATAGTTTTTACAATCAATATTATTTTCTTAACACTTCGCACCTTTAGAATGAAAGTGGTCATCGCAAAATTTTTACTTTTTGGGAAAATGCAAAATAAGTGATGATGTTGTAACATTTTCATATCATCTAATTTTTACTCTTGGAGTACCAAAGGCAATGGCCTTATTAGTCTATCATGGTGCAAGGTAAAATAAGGACGAAATATTCAGCTTTATAACATGAAAAATAGTTTAACAATTTAAATAAAAAGTAATTTACAAAACACTAATTATTATAAGGTCACTATTTACTGAACTTTTTTGTTGTCATTTGACCTAATAAATAAGTAAACCTCTTTCATTTTCATCAGCTAAGTAAGATGTTATTACCTTATCAAAATTAAGTCGTTTTAATTATAAAAAAAGTCCTCTACGTAATAAAGTTAGTCCCAGTGCCCACAGACGGGACGGGACTGCAAGGGATTTTTGGGTGACGCATAGTATTGTAACTTAAGATTATGACTTTATAGTTGCAATTTTAGTGATAATGATCATAGCTGCAAAATGAAGCTGCGATATGCTTAGGCATGCAGAGCCTTCAGCCTCCGGAATCCCTAGGCAACCTCCGGAATGCCTCAGCAGCCTTACGGGATGCCTCGGTAACCTTAGGGATGCCTCACCAGTTTTAGGGATGTCTCGGCACCCTTATGGATCCTCGGCAGCTTTATGGATCCTCGGCAGCCTTATGGATGCCTGGGCAGTATTGGGCCTCGGCGGCCTTAAGGATGCATCGATAAGTCTCAGGACGCACGCTCCGCGTCGCCTTTGGTCAACATTAGCTTGACGACATACAACTATAGCATTCAATACACGTTAAGCAACAATGTAGCGACGGTATGCTTCAGCATACCTAAAGATGCCTAAGGATACCGTGGCATGTTTAAGGAAGCCGCGACATAATTGCTGTCAGTGTGTGCTTGCATATAGAGTTGCTGAAGCATCGACTGCCGTCCCGTCCTGTCGGCTATTCGGCTAATTTAACCACTATTTCTATAATGGTGGTGGGGATTACTTTTTGCTGTCTTCAATCCAATCCTCTTTGGGTATGTTGTTCTACCTACTGTCACTTTGTGAATCAAGTCTCTTAAGCAAGTAATTTACCAATAGTGATGGAGATGAGTATCTGGATGATGAAAGACAGCTTGAAGCAGAACAAGGTCGTATGCTTGGGACAGAAGGAGGTGTTTGAAATAGAAGGAATATGCGCATTCGGTTCATCGGTTGATTTTCGATATCGTTTGAAGGCGGTGAATCATCACGCAGACAGATCAAAAGTCTTTCCCTGCTTTATCTATTATCTCTGCGAATTTTTAGCCTCTTACGCCTTTCCTTTCTCTGTTTTCTTTCTGACATTTGATCAATAGATAATACTTATTCTTTTCTCCTTTTCGTTTTTTGTAACGTACAAGTCACACACAGTCAAGAGCACGCCAAGCTTGACACTGTGTACTTTGGACCCGTTCTTATCCTAAGCGGCATAGAGTTGGATTTAAATCTTAAGTGTCAAGCTTGACGTGTTCTTGACCCTACTTTTACATTTTTTTATTATTTATTATTTTAATATTTATTACTACTTTTATATTATTTACTGTTTTTTAGAAAGTTTATTCTACGTATTATCACAAATTAATATAGATTAGTTTATTTATTACAGATAAATATATTTAATTTTAATTTGTATAATTGTAAATGGACTTTGCACACGACATGGAAGTGACATTTTCGTCACTTTCTTAATGATGATTTAAATAAATATTTATATTGTGTAAATATTAATAGAAATCATATTAATTTAAACTAACACGATTAATTTTAAATAGGAATTGACTAAGTAATACAAGTATATCGCTTTTTAATACATATGCACAAAAAAAAATTGCAGAAATGAGAATGGTCCATATAAAGATATATTGAACCAAATGTAACCAAAATCGTAGAATTATGTAAAGTTTAAAGGGAGTAAAAACTTTACCCCCTTGAACTTTAATTTTATTTGAAATTATATGAAATGATAGAGGCACTTCCGTACCTACGATAAGTGTAAGGTTAGGGGTGGTCTTGGAGCATGTGCTCTAAGGGGGTGGGTATTGTTGATTGCTTTTTGTTTTTTTTTTCCGTTTTCACATCGGTATCGACTCTACGGCAAGGATGTAGGTAAAGGCGTTGGGCCACTACGGTCC